CCCCAAAACCCCAAAACCCCAAAACCCCAAAACCCCTACTGATGTAGTTTAGTGAAATAAAGGAGTAATCTTGTAAAAGTAATTTTTCTATAGCTAAATATATATATATTTGTTAAAAATAGAATTATTAAACACGAGTAAAGAGGTTACCCCTCGAATTACTCTCAATACAATGACTATTTAAAGCTAATTCTTGACAAAGTTAATCAAATATTGCTGCAAATAACAAGAACCAAGTAATGAAGACCTAACTTTATCTTACAATAATAGGAACTACTTTACTTTTTAGTAACATCAATGCTATCAAGAACAAGCTTTACTAATAAAAGAAGAGTCAGAATCTGGTTGAATCTAATGAATTCGATTTTGACGAGGACTTTGATAGCAAATATATGGAAGATTGGTTCAATTCAGTTGAGTGGGGTGAATGTCCATGCGATGAAGTCACAACTGTTTCTACCACAACTTAGGCCCCAACAACAACTTATATTCCTACAACATCTGCAGCGCCTACTAGCACAGAAGCTCCAACTACTTCAGTACCAGAAACAAGTACAGAGGCTCCAACTATTACTTCAATACCTTCGACAACTGAAGCTCCAACTACCTCAGTTCCAGAGACAAGTACAGAAGCACCTACAACCTCAGCTCCTGAAACATCGACAGTAGCACCAACTACCTCAGCCCCAGAAACTGAGACCACAACAGAAGCTCCAACCACTCCTCCAATTCCAACCTCCGGTGGAAACCCTCCTAATGAAACTTGTAATGCAACCAATACACCAAATTGGAGATACAATTAAGAATATGATTGCAATTGGGTATACAATTCTGATTTCGACTCATGGATGTGTATTAATGAAAATTGTGAATGGAGCTTTAATAAAAACAATTGCTCATGGATTTGTATAAATAATGAAACAACCCCTGAGGGAAATAATACAGTTATTTGTAACTATACCTGCGAAGAATTCTCCTAAGCTTTTGATAGAATCTCCATGCTTGAGAATTATTACTCGTTGCTAGTAGGAAATCTTGCAGACTAATTAGCTCAAATTTAAGATATGGCCACATAAATCTCTGATTTAAATGCAGCACTCTCCAGCTTACAATCTAGTTAGCAATCAATCGGATCAAATCTAGACGACTTATCATAGAGAGTAACTGATCTTGAAGATACCGATGTTTCAGCAAATGTTAAGTAAGATATCAAAGATAATGGATTGTTCCTTGGAGACAGATGGTGGATTGGATAGTAGGTTGGCAGTTTATGGGCAATAGACTATCTTTCACCTAGTTTCATTAAGTTCCCACAAGGGGTTAATGCTACCATCGGATGAAAAAGTAAAATAATACAAAAAGTCAAAATTAATTATCATAAGAAACTTAATAAAATCTCTAATTAACATCTATCCTGATTTTTCTCTTGGGGTTTTGGGGTTTTGGGGTTTTGGGG